GCTGATATAATCTTCATTAAAATGAGTGACTGCAAGTTACAGTTGTTACCCTTATTTTACAGATGAGGAAACAGATTCAGAGAGGCTACATCGTGGAAGTACAGTTGCAAGCAGAAGAAAATAAGTCTAGCTAAAGCAAGCCAGAAAGCTGGGGATTGTGGGGAGGGCTGACCACATGACTGTCCAGTGACTCTCAGGTCCCCCAGTACACCTTTCCTTTGAGCATCTACTCTAGTTAGTGAAATAACAAGAGCCTACTGCATGCCAAGCACTGTGCTAAGTGCTGAGGAAGCAAAAACCCAGACAGGATTCCTGCTCGTGTGATGCCTGATGCCCTCAGCCAAGGGCGAAGGCACAGCCATCAAGTCGTCACCCTGAAAGAGAGGCAACTCAGCTGCGCTGAGGACTATGAACCGGAAATGGTGTGAGCACAAATGACAGGCAGCAGGGGTGAAGTGACACATGAGCAGCAAGCCAGGTCACCGAATATTCAGAGCTGGAAGGAGAAGGTCACCACCTCCTTGCTGGTGTCTCAGATACATGTATAATTTCATTCCCTCTCGATTTCCTGGCCCCATATGTAGTACTGCTACTGGGAAGATCGTACGGCCATACCACATGGGCTTCCAGAGACACCCAGGCTGCTTTGGATGACATTCTGTTATTTTTTTTCACTGTAGTAAGATAGGTAGGGTAAGTAGATAAATAGATATTTATATGTATATGTCTTATATAACATATATGTGCACAAATATATGTATATAAAATACAACAGATATAACTGTGTACAAAAAAGTATTTGATACAATGTATGATGATTATTATTTTTTAATATTTATTTTTTAGTTGTAGTTGGACACATTACCTTTATTTTATTTTTATGTGGTGGTAAGGATTGAACCCAGGGCCTTGCACATGCTAGGCAAATGATCTACTGTTGAGCTACAACCCCCGCCCAAATGATTATTAAATATGCATATAATATAAACATATATATAATTATATCTGTTATATTTTACCAACATAATATGCACATACTATGCAATGTGTTAATATATAACATGTGTACATTATATAAAACCATATGTGTATATTATATATATCATGTATACATGCACATATAACATGTATATTGTATAAAATGTGTAACATGTATATGTTACATATATAACATGTATATATTACATATACATATGTAGATTGCATGCAGATATATGTATATAACATATATTTCTATCATTATATGTATAACATGTGTATGCATATATAATATAGGCACATGTAATATGGGTATATATTATGTGCACATTATATGTATATATGTACATATCCCATGTATATTATATGTATATATGTCTACATATAAACAAAATATGCCACTTTAATCTTTTCCTTTTTTCTTTTTGGCAGTAATGGGAATGGAACTCAGTGCCTTGCACATGCTAGGCAAGTGCTCTACCATCAAACTATATCCCCAATCCCCTTTTGGCCATTTCTTTTTTTTTAATATTTTATTTTGGGGTTGTAGATGGACACAATATCTTTATTTTATTTTTTGGGTGCTGAGGATCAAACCCAGGACCTCGCACGTGCTAGACGAGTGCTCTACTGCTGAGCCACAACCCCAGCCCCATTTTGGCCATTTCTAAGTGTACAATTTTGTGGCATTAATTTCAGTCACAATGTTGTATAACCATCCCCACTATTTCCAGAATTCTTCATCACCCCAAACCCATTAGACTCCAAACCCTCTCAACAACTTCCTGTTCCACTCTCTCTCCAGCCCATGTAACCCCTAATCTCCTTTCTCTATGAATGCACCTGTCCTAGGTGCCTCGTGACATGTAGAGTCATATGAAGTGTGCTTTGGGGTCTGGTTTACTTCACTCAACACAGGGTTTTCAAGGTTCATCCCTGCCGGGGCAGGTGGCAGAACTTGATCCTTGGTTAAGGCCCAGGAGTATCTCATGGTCTGGAGGATGACTGCATGGCCTCATCCGCTCAGGCACAATGCTGGTTCCAGCTTGGGACAAGTCCCTCTGCTTGTTTCTCCTCCAGATTCCCCATCTGTAAATGGGAACATTTCTCCTTTTTTCCAGATGCTTTTATTGGTGTATTATAATTATATATAGTAATGAGATTTGTTGTCACATATTTGTACACGCACACAATAATGTAATTTGGTCAATTTCTAAAAAATGGGAATATTTCTTAAAAGCAAGGAACTGGGGCTGGGGATATGGCTCAAGCGGTAGCGCGCTCGCCTGGCATGCGTGCGGCCCGGGTTCGATCCTCAGCACCACATACAAACAAAGATGTTGTG